CGGTAAGGAATTTTTTTCTCGGAAATGGTTAGGATTTCGAGGGCATATCTATTCACCAAAAATGATTGTAATTAATCCCTGCAACTAAACATATTTTTTCTAGAATGATTTGAAATTTTTTTTTTCGCCAAAAAATTTCTGCACCCTGTCGATTTTTCTTCACAATTTTACTAGAAGAATTTATTAAGAAATAGCAAATTGTAATGAGAATAAAAGGGCGCGGAACACGCTGTATTTGATTTTTACAGAAGGATGGATTTTATGTAATAATTGTGTTGCTAAAATTAATCTCGGGTATAAATATACATCTGTGTACAAACATATGGCTTAGATTTTAAATAAAATTATAGTTCAATGTACAATTCCTATTCTATGTGCTAGATGTAATAAAATACTGTTAATTATTATTCAAGGAATAGTTATGGTCTATAATAGATTAATTAATTTATCATAATTAAGGCCGGTTTAACGAAACATTTGGCAGTTTCCTGGCTCGTAAAACATAGGTACAAAATGTGCCAACTCTATTACCCCGTTTTTTAAATGTTATGCACACGTTTATCGACGTTCTCGTAAAAGTTGGAATGTCACTCGATAAATACATAGAAAGAGAAACTAATTCTACGTCTCGTACCGCGGTATTTGATATATACTAATATTTTACACGTACCATTAACATACCACCTTGCAAAGACCCATTAAAATCGAAGTCGGACAATTGGAGTCCTTCCCCTGTTAGTTTCGTCGCGATTACGATTAAACTGCACGGTAAACCTCTGGAAATGCTACTTCTTCGACCATTTTGATGATTTTTAAATATCTGTGTCATATAGAACGTTGTTTCGACCAACTTTTTCCTTAGAAAAATTTGCTGGTCGATTTCAGTTTTCCAGATATTTGGAAAATTCCTATCCTGCTATATCATCAATCTGTGGAGTCCACGAAGTTTCAGGGCCAAGTTCGTAAAAAGTTAAACAAGATATCCTCGAGTTCACGCCGCTGTGATGGTATTGTTTAATTCCAGCGTATCCTACAATTGTACGAAACAGGCGAAGCTAGAAATTCCAAAACCTTAAACGAAAGAGACTAGGGAACCAGAGAGTGCTGGTGTACACAGTTCTTCGCTGATAAATCAACGGTTCCTTGTCCTTCAGTTTCGCTGGAAATCCGAAGCAACCGAAGTGTACAACTCGATTAGGCTCGCTGCCTGCGCCGCGTCGTGGATTTATGATACGTCGATCCCTATCGAGAACTAGGTAACAAGACGATACACGCGATACGAAAGCTTTTTCTTGATAAATCACGGTATTCGGAACTTCGTCTTGATACAAATCTAGGACAATTAGATTCCTAAATCTCCTGTTCCAGATACTTCCTAGAATCATGGCCTCGACGCGACGTCTCGTAAGCCAAATTTTCGGAGAATCGTAGCAAAAACGTTGTTTTCGACCAAATCGGGGTTGGAAAGTGGTCAAATATACATAGGTGCATCGTAGTTTGCGGAATTTCAACGACCTTTAACATCCTTTACACTTTCGAACGACAGACATTTTCGAAAATTTTACTATCGAACCACCGAGTCTCATTCGAGGTTTCTTACGAGTTTCTTATTATTTATTCTAACAGCTTGATCTATTTAAAATATATTCCCCGCGCGCGACGCGATTAATATTCACTTTACGAAAATGCTGAAAAGTAACCACGAAAAAGTAACCTTCGCTCGAATGGCTTCCGCTCTATTACAAATTTCATGCAAAGAGAATCGTTTAACAGACTCTAGCGACGAAACGTTAATTTTTAAAAGGTTCGTTCGCGGTCATCTTCGAAATCGCATTTAAAAAAACGCGAAGTCTCGAACCGTTGGCAGGGCGAACTAGGTTACTTTTCTATGAAATATGCTGCAAATATTGATTCCGCCAGGACGTGTAGTTGCATAAGTACGGTCTTGTAATTTCGCGAGGAACAAATTAAATTTAGTCGGGCAAGAAGCGCATTGGTAATTAGTCGCCGTAATCGTTTGAATCAGAGTGCCCGCGCTCGCATTTCTGTACATCAGCATTGTAGCCATTTCGGGCGCGAACTCGCTATGTCGCGAAACACGTTGAAATATCTTGTTTTCGCAAAACTTCGAACGGGCTGGAAATCATCGAAAAACGAACTAAGCTTTTTGGGATGTTTTCGGGTGCTTGCAAAACTTTCAAACGACTTTGGTGAAACGCAAACCGAACTTCCAAGATGCTTTGATGGATCCAGGGAATATTTTACGAACCCCTTTCCCTTTACTTTGCGAATGGCCACGATTGCAATCTAAATAATCTCCTACAAAATTAAGCTACGCAGGCACGAGTCGATTATATGATTTAAATCAACCAGAAAGGTGTCGTTTAATCTCTGAAAATTGTACACCGAAAAGCTGGACAATATTGTTCAGTCTAGAGAAATGTTGTTCGAGCAAAAATGAAATATATTTCAAATTTTATCGGTTCATTTAAAATATATTTGTACACGTTTATCTTTTATTTCGTCCCTTCGATCCGTGAAATACTAATTTTTAAAACTATACTTTGAAAAATTGCTTGGGTAGTTTTGAGGCATCGAGTCACGTTTTCAGATAAAAGAAAATGATTTGCCTATGAGCAAACAGAGATGCAAATTTCATAAAACGTAATCGGTACTATTTCCCCCGAAAAATGGGAAACCGTGATTCCGCGGGATACGCGTTCGTAATGAAAATTCGAGGACAATCCTGTCGAGTTTACCCGTGTGTGTAATCGCGAAGGTTTTAAGGATCTTGCCTTCAATTTAAATTAACAGCGGCGAATACAATCTTCTAACGGATCGTAACAATAAAAAGGGTAAGACAATAACAGTAAAGTCGTCCAGTCTGTACGACCAAAATTAATTAATGTATAATTACGACGTGAAATGCGGCTCAATTAAAACGTGATCGCAACAACCATTGTAACTTGATTAAAATGTAAACGTACTAATGGTTGCGGTTTAATGAAAGTCCTGGAGTGGTAGTGATTTAAAGTTATTAGTGTTTGCGATTCCCTTTGCGAGAAAGATTTTTCTACACGATTGTCATACACCGGGATGATAGCTATTCTTTAAATGAGAGAAACCTAATCTCGTTCATCGTTCGTCGGATCCCTTTAAAGAGATTAATGCGTGGGAACAACAATAGGACTATGAAAATTATATATCTTATGTATAAATAATGATAATTCTTATAAATCGTTATGTGAGACCCAGAGCCACTATAAAAAGGGGAATTACGTTCCGAAAACTTATTAAAAACAAATATTTTTTTTTATTTCTACGTAAGCAACTTAATTTTTATGAAAAATATAAATGCACGTATAATATAAAACAAAAAATATTATTTTAATTTAATGCAACCTTAATTTAATAAATTATAATTTGTTTATACAGGGGGTTCGGTCACTCATAGGAAAAATTTTACTGGGAGATTGTAAAGGCCAAAATAAGACGAAAATCAAGAATATCAATTTCTTGACTGAGGCTTCATTAAAAAGTTATTAAAAAATTAAATTAAACAATTTCAAATCATTCTGAAAAAATTATTTTTGGTTGCGAGGCTCAATTACAATCATTTTTTATGATTACACATACCCCCGAAATTCTACCTACTTTCGAGAAAAAAATTCGAGTAGGTACTGAAATTTTTAGACGAAATTAAAAATTTCAAATCGTTCTGGAAAAATTATTTTCGATTGCGGAGGTCAAGTACAATCATTTTTGGTCATTAGACATACCCTCGAATTCCTATCCACTTTCGAGAAAAAAATTCGAGAAGGTGTAAAATTTTTCGACAAAATTAAAAACTTTCAAATCGTTCTGGAAAAATTATTTTCGGTTACGGGGGTCAATTACAATAATTTTTGGTGAATAGACCTACCCCCGAAATCCTACCCACTTTCTAGAAAAAAATTCAGTACGAGCGGAACTGTAAACGTTAATAACTTTTTAACGAAGCCTCAATCAAGAAGTTGTTATTCTTGATTTTCGTCTTATTTTGGCCTCTAGAATCTCCCATTAAAATTTTTCCGAGGTGTGACCAAACACCCTGTATATCTCTCCAGAAAATTTGAACAGTTTTATTTAAATCAACGTTCATGATTTTGTTTGGCAAACCATACATATTTATTATTCTATATATATGATTCTAATAATTAGAGTAGAAACAGCAATGGAACTATGAGAATTATTAACTCTGAATAATCATTTTTCTTTGTTTTGTAATTAAAAGAATGAATATTGACAAAACCGGCGTTTCTATGTCTGTCTGACGCACCGTTCATGTATACCTAGCGTAAAGAAAGACAGTTAACAATATGGCGGCGGTACTGGCGGGATATTCCTCTCGGCGATCCTTCGACGCAAGAACTTAAACATTCTTTCTTGTAAACTTCCGATCATGTAAGTAATTATTCCCAATCAGAACATTATATGTATATTTGATTAAGTAATTCTAATTCGATAGAAAATTGTACTATTATTTATATCGTTCAATAATGGAAATAAATACTTCCTATTGCTCTTGTTATTTTAATAAATATAAAATGTTTCAGTGAACTGTGAGACAAATATTGAATATTTCGAAAGATATAAAGCGGCTAAAGAAATTCTACTAGAAGTATCAAACGGATATCAATCGTAAGTATCGTTTTTGTGTCGACTCGATCCCTAGAAACACCTAGTAACATCGAGTTCAAGTTCCTTTTCGAATCATCAAGTTAACCGTATAAAATTTCTGAGTCGTTTATAAATTTCTGTGGAATTTTAATCACTTTTAAATATACATTATATTTTTATGGATGTTTATATTAAAACGTACGAAATAATAATTTATTAAAAAAATTTATTTAAAATTATATAATATTGTACACAATAGTATATTTACAAAAATAGTTTATATTTTAATTCATTATGGTTATTCACTTATTAATGAATAAATACACCCCACATAAAGAACTTCATGTTGCATGCGAAGAATCAAATTCTGCAGTGTCTGGATCAGTATCGTTCATTAGATTATCAAATCCAAGGCTAAACCTTTCTTTCGCGTCCATAGAAATTTGTAATTCTTTCTCACCTTGACGAGTTAATAATCTTTGATAGATAGGCACATAAGATTCACTTATGTCAGCGAATTCGTCCTTGAATTGATCAGAATTTACTATACTTTTTCGGCAATCGTCGGACGTCGTTTTATCGTCAATTTCCGTATCAACCATATTGAAATCTTCAACTTCTACATTTAAATTAATGTCATCTTTATATACCTTCATATCAAACTGAAAAACTCTTCTTTCGCTACATATATTATCAATTACTTTTGTCATATTTAAATCCTGATCGTCGTTATCGCTAACAAAATCGTCCGGCGAAAGTTCATTAAACATTCTGTCCAATGTATTATTTAGTTTCGAGTTTACTTTCTCCGATTGCAAAACTTTATCAAACTGAGGACCGCGTTTTACTATTAGATTCTTTTCTTGGTTGTCTACCTTCTTAGATCTCTTTGGCGTGATACTCATTCTTCCAAAAGATTCTTCTAACGATAAAGGCTCGGGAACGGAAATGAACTCATCGATCTTTTTATTTTTTTCTATGTTAACAGACTTTTCGATCATTTTTTTCTGTCGTCTCTTTACGGTCTTGTTTTTTTCAGTACTTTCAGAATTTGTATCATTTCGTGCCTTTTTTTTAACTGTCCGTTTCTTTGCTTTTGCACTTTTTGCGTTTTCAAAGACCTCAACTAATTCTGGATAACATTTCAGTACAGCGCTTTGTGGTTCGATACTTGTTAATTCGGACAGACAATCCACATTATTATCAATATTTTCTTCGTTTAATGCAATATACTCTTTCAACTTTTCTATCACATCATGCTTAGTTTGCCAAATAATTTCGTAACTAGCAACAGATCTAATATTCCGAATTTTTTTTATACATTCGGGAATAAATAAATCAGAATTTAATAAGCGATTCTCGATAGAAATATTCGGAATATGTATTAATTGCCATCTTGTTGCTAAAGGAAATACTTTTTCAAATGCATACTGCGGCTCCCATGATAAATGTTTTTCCATAAAATCCTAATATAAAAAAATTCATAAATATTTGCTAAACGTGCTTAACAAATTATTCTAAACTTTTCTGTGAAAACTTACTATTAATTTACACGTATCTGGTTGTTTCCATTGGAGATCTATTCTCGTAGGTACAGGACCTTTCCTAACAAGAAACTCATCTATCAGTTCTTGATTAGGAAAACCTTTGCTAAGAAGTGCCTTTTTCCTCAAAGCAATTTCATTTAAGATCAATGCTTTCTTCTCCCTAACAGAATATGTTGCAAAAAATATATGATGTGTTTTGAATAAATAACATGTAACGAACAAAAATTTACCTATAAAAATTACCTATAAGAATCATTACATTTTTTATCAGTACCACAGTCTACACAACCTAATTTTGTATGATTCTGAACTCTCCCACTATGACCACAAGATGAACATATATTTGGAAGCGATAATTCTGCTTCTTTCTGGTCTAAACTATTATCTGTTCTCCAACTTTTTATGCTATAAAAATAACGTTTAACGAAATATTCTTACGACGCAAATATTTGTCAAAACATATTATAATTTATATCGTACCATGAAAGAATGTTTTCATCATTCACAATCTTAAAAAGTTTCATAGCCGCCTCTTTACCAACGCCGTTTAATCCATCATCGTAATCACATCCGCATAATAATGCTAATGCTATCATTTTATTTCTCCCTAAATTTAACAGCTTATTTACTTTTTCTATATTGTATTCGTCCACAGCACCACCCGTACCTCCCCGATTTCCTTGTGCACTCATGCAAAAGTTTTTATAAACTACTTTTGCTCCGTATAAAAAACAGTCACTATCTTGACTTATGCACCCATCAACAAGCTACATTTATCAATCTATGAGTCAGGGAAAATTCAGATTGCCTAACTTATACAAATACAAACTTACCCCATCTTCGTTTAAATATGCACACATTGCTTCTGCCTCTCCATGTCCTTGTATGCAAGCTAAACCCATATATTTAAGCAATTTTTTACATTCGTTAAGGATCCTATTAAACTGTGATCTCCCTCCTTTACGAGTAGTTTTTCTTTCCCTAAATCCGTTCCGAATATCGTTTCTTTTCACAATAGTATTATGTTTCAAGCTAGGTGCTTCTCCTTCCAATACAAATACGGGTAATATTCCTTGTAGAAGAAGGAACGACGTACGAAAGTATAAATTCCTGTAACAAAAATTACACGTTTCCCTTGATTTTAAATACAAACTGATTGGCATAGCTAGAAAAAACAGACGAACCTAAGATACATTTTCGGCTGAACCGAGTGATCGGTGACCATTTGGCTATCCACGACCCAACAACTCATGTCAATTGCTATTGTTTTCCCTTGAAGTTCAAACATTGGTTTCCTTTCGCACAAAGGCGACAATATATTCCAAAGATGCTTCACCCCCATTTTAAACAGTTTAAATCAAATTTCGTGTACGATCTACAACGACCATTTTTTAAATGACATGTTTACGTAGTATAATACCACATAAAGAAACAGTAAATTCCCATTAAGTGCTGATTTTTCCATAAATGAACGTGACAAAGAAAAATGTCCTATACTATTCCTTAAGATATCACCAAATGAATGAAAGATAACCTTCTATTTGCAGCTGCTGCACTCTGCAGTTAAACTAGGGAATTTTTTGAAGAATCGATTGCTTTCTCGATTGTTCTAGGAATCGATTTCCCACGATTCGATTCTTTTTTATCGCAAAATCGAATCGTCGCTTCTCTTTTTGTAAAGAGTAATTATATCGAAAAAATGAAAGAGAGAAAAATTTTGTTATTTTTTATAACGAACATAATGGTGTATAATTAGTGCCAATTTTTTATACTTGCAATAATTTTCAAGAAATTAAGGTCTCGATAGGTATGCTTTTTTCTGGTGTCCCTTTTGAAACAAACTAAACTTATTTAAAACATTTGTCCGAGTAATCAACGCTTATCTCGTGGAAAAATGAAAACGAAACATTTTTTGCATCGATTTACAGCAGAAATGAAATGCCTAGAATTTTCATACTTGGTTTATTATCTTGATTGCATGTTCCGTCTTTTTATTAATAGCAGCATTGCAGTTCAGATAACGTATTTCCTGTTAAATATAATGCAATATATAAAATTGTTATAAAGCAACAATTACATGTAGGAAGTAATCGAAAGGTATTAAAAGTACAGATTTTAGATGGAAAATATAATTATACAATGTATGAAAATGAAACGATACGGTGAAAAGTCAAAGATAAAAAATCACACCATAGGTACTTACTTACGCGAGGCAATAAATTGAATAGTGACCCGAATTTATAACTTAAAACCAGTTCAAATGTAGTAAATCTTCCCATTAGAGGCTTACAAACTATTTTGAATTATTGCTATTGTTTCTTTTCTTTCTTTCGTTTACTAAACCATCTAGTTTGATATATGCAATGTATAAATTGAGATAATCGAGATAAATAACCCCCTGATTTGTACTACGGTACTGGAAAGATTACGAAATTCCCCGTTACGGCGAATTATCGTATCTGCGTCTATAACAGTTATTGTTAATTTAATATCTTCCTGATAAAGTTTATGATTACTGATAACAAAATTACTAATCTTTGAAAAATGTTGATTTTTTCGAAAATGAAATTACGTCATGCGTAACGATACTTTCTAACTTTGGAAAAATTGTATAGAAATAGTTATTTATTATTGGACGCATAAGAACCCCTGAAGAAGGAAAGATTTTCAAGAACCGTTTGATAAAGCGAAATAGTTGATTTTCAGGCCCTCCTAATTGACTTTGATAATTAATTCCGAACGAAATCCATTTTGATTTCTAAACATTTTTATTCGATATAAACAATGTTTTCGTATTTATATTTTAAGTTTGTTCCAAATTGTTTCAACAGAATTAATCGATTTCGAGAGTGGGATAACACCTGAACAATTGTATAATGGCCATTCTTTTACAATGCAAACACAAATACCCATTTTCGAGACATTTTCTTTCAAATTAATTTTTAACATATTTAAATACGTTTCTCCGTTAAATCTCCGTATTTTGTTTAATGGCATTGAGGTTTTCTACGCCACAATAACTAAAAACAGGTTATTTATGTACCTAACTAACAGGTTTCGATGCTTAGATTTCGCCGAAAGCTAATCGTTTCTTTTCCAGTAACAGCAGTTGTAAGAATTTTTAAGTACTGTCGAATTTTCCTTTTACTTCTTTGAATGTGTTATTGTTAATTGTTTCTGCCCGTACGTGTAATATCGTTGTGTAATATTACATACATCATTAAAGCACTTAACATGATACTTTTGTATTAAGATTGATAAGAGTTCTTGTAATATCTGATAATATCAGTCATCGGTAGTGGTAAGCAATATTAAAAAAATCCGTAACAAATATATAAAAGGATCAGACGATTCAGTGAATCATTTACAGTAGTCTTCACGATACGATAAGATCACGATTAGTGAATCTTCGATCCACCAAGCGAAAATGAAAGGTAAGTTATGCGATGCAATAATAACGTTTAATTAATATCAGTAAACTAACTTTCCTTTGCAAATTCGTTAGTCGAGAATAAAATATGCCCAACTGTGTACAACAAATAAATATAACCATAACGAATTAAAAATATATTAGTGCAATTAGAAAATTACTGAAATTTATATACAGGGTGGTTCTAGAATCTGCGTATTTTTTCTTTTCATTCTGCATGTAAAATTATTAATACAAGATCATCAAAAACGTAATATTTTATGTTTGTATTCAGTAGCTCGATTCTTCGTGTTGAAATTATATTCGCCGCACTGACGAAACTATTTATAAAAGTAACGAAAAAATTGTTATGTTCCGTGCGTTTGTGAAGTGCAATAAAATTCACGTTCTGAGATTTAAAAAAGAGAAGACGAATATTCGTTGTCTTTTGTTCCAACCGTTGACACGAGAATTAAAATTAAAACTAATTTCACGAGTGTAACTTAAAAATGAAATGAAGAATGTAAGAAAGTGCTTAATAAATGTATAAACATTCATGGCGGAACGTTTGAACATCTCAATTTTTACATGTAGCATGAAGAGAAGAAACCAATGGAAAAATGTTATAATAATAGATACCAATAATCTATACGTGTGCGTATACTGTAAAAATTGTAGTGTTCATCTAAAGATAACGAGATTTATTTTATCAGTTCAAGCGACATTTGCAGTTGCTGCTGTCACGGTTTTCGTGGGCTTCGTTTCTATTACCGAAGCACTTCGTGTAAAATGTCCCCCACGGAACGGTGTCTTAGTCACATTGCTCCCACATTCGAAAAACTGCTCAAACTTCATCATGTGCAACGATGGCATACCATATTTGATGCACTGCCAGCAAGGACTTCATTTCAATCCCGTGGAGAAAGTATGCGATTGGCCCAGTCATGCAAAATGTCGTGCGAATACGACTAAACCTAGCACGACGGAAGCTGTTAATGCGACAGAAGAAACTACGACAGAAATCGTCACTCCTACTACTCCAGACGTGCCAGAAACGACCACTACTGAACAGAGAACTACTGAAGGGACTACTGTTCGACCGACCGAGGCTCCAGAGACCACTACTGAAAAAGAGGCCACTGAACCAACGACCGATGCTACACCGACCACTACTGAAGAGGATGACTGGTGGTGGTGGGGCAACCTTATGAATCGTCGTAATTAATTCTAAGTAATTATGTACGCCTAAATATATTAAATCCATTGCAATTATAAAAAGTTACACGTTGCGTTAAATGTTTCTATATCCCCATCACGCTAACATTGATCGAACTGCACAATCTTCGGGAAACATATCGTGCGTGCAAATGCTTTATTTATTTTTCATCACCCGTAACGAAAGAAAGAAGTCATCGCGTAGAACCAGCGTTTGATTTTTGAAAGAGATTCAACAAAATTGCATGGAACTCAAAAACCACTATGCAGGCGAGAGAAATAATTGTATGAAACATTTAAAAATTTACATTATAATAATAAAGTAGTTTGAATTAATGTTGGATACTGAATTTCATCCAATTTTTGTAAATATATTAACAAATGATTTGTAGGAAATCCGTTCTTGTATCAAAAAATTATATAAACGTATAACGGGTTTATGTAAAAGAGGAACAGTACTTTTATTTATATAATTATAGCGATTAACGAATAAAAAAGATTTTTATTGTGGAATGGAGTACTTAATAAAAATTCAACTATTTGAATAAAGTGTTGGCCATCATTCGTATCTCTCGTTAATAATATTCATTCGTTGTAAACAGACAGTTATAATAATAAAATATGGGTTACACGCGTGAGTTTTGCCTCTTTAAAATATTTTGCAAACATGTCGGGGACAGAAAATAAATTTTGGTCCGACAAATGGAGTGTAAGATGAAAAAATTAATAGGGCGTTAGATCTGGAGAGATTGCGGAGTGTGTCAGTTTCGTGTGTACTCCCTCTTTCTTTCTTCGATGGGAGAAAGTGCTACACGACACATTTTCATTATAATTAAACTTGTGCGAGGCTAAGATCTTTCCGATAATATGTGTTCTCTATACTAGTTAATGCCAAGCACCTGGAAAGTACTATTGAATTTTATTCATAGCAATTCGAAGCTCGAGTTCTTCATTTTTACCTCTAGAATAATTTTCTGGTATTTAATACTCGAAATTTGTCAAAAATAAAAGAAGAAAAGAATACGAGAGGCAGGAAAAGTACGAATTTCACGAAGAGAAATTAATAAAAAATCGTCACGTTAACGATTTTTCATCGTTTTTCACTATAAAAGCAGGTTGGAGGGGAGAGATTCAGGCAACAAAATTTATTAGAAGAATTTTAAAACTGACTTAAATTTACTCCGTCTGTCTATACGATTGAAAACCAAAGTCATGTTGCTTAGAATGTTAAAAGCATAATCTATACTTACATCGTAAAAATAAAATGATAAACTTTAGTATTTAAACTTAACCATAATAAAATAAAATAGTTAGCTTTAGTATTTTAAACGGTTGACAATAATCGTAAAGAAACAAATTCTCAAATTATGAGAAAATAAAAATAATTATTTATTTGAATTTTCTTCATTATGCCTGCAACGTGGATAGTATTTATCCGTTTATAAAATACTACTAAAAATACCTTTCACTTTAAAAGTACTCTTAAATGTCTGAATGCACTATTTTGTTTTTGCTCCATCGTCTTAGATGTGTCCAAGTTTATTATTTTATTGTTCCGAAATTTGGACTCTGGAAGTCTCGCTTTAGCTTATCTATTTACTTCGATTTTAAGCCACCTATACGACAGATTTGAAGATTATTTCGTAGATTTCGAACCAATCTTTCGAAAGTTCTTTACGCGTCAACCTCGTATCGGGAGCACGGTATTTTCTTGATGAAACTCGATGAAACTTCAATGCTCTAATAATTATGCGCGCTTTGTATCGGAACTTTATCGTTCCGTAGCGAAACTTTATCGAAGAGCAGCTTGCGTGCTTTTTACTCGTAACATAATCATTTAGCGCCAAACATGCATGCTGGCACTGCGATTAAGAAGAAAAGTTTCAACTAGGGTAAATGTACCAATTAACTGCGCTAATAAGCTTTAGTTCCACTTTATTTCACTGTATTTTTCGATTCGTTATTAAAGAATCATTCGGTAATCATTGGTTTGTATTGGAAAGACAATTAGGAGCGCCATTTTCTGTAAAAAAAATTGTTTAATCGCCAAAATCTGTAAAGTAAACTTACATTTACTCTATTTTATATCTTTCGTGAATATCCTTCTTTTAAATATAAATATATGAAAAATATGGAACTAATGCAAATGTTTTGAGGGTAAAAAATTTATGCGTACGCGTTTTAGTCTTGGAGAAAAATTCCCCAGAAATTTGTCTTGGTAAAAGAACATTCGAACGGGAAAGACATGACCGATAACCAACGTTCTTCGTCATCCGTATACCGCTATACAAAGCAATAGTAAATCTAAATACGCGCCTGGAGGAAGGAACTGGCGAGTCAAGATCAGTGAAAACGTTAATTATTACGGAGAAATCATTAACTATGTCGCGCGTATTCCGTCTTTCTTTTGTTATTTCCTTTTTCCCTCGCGATTCTCCATTTTTCTCTTCGTCTGAGCCTTCTCTTTCACCGTTGCATTCTTTCGCGGCGTTAATTATGCGAAGGACTCCCACGACTCGAGAATGCCGCTCAAGATCATGGACTACGGTCGTGTCGGACGACTTTTCTATGCATTTATTCCCAACATTTTCCTCCGCGTTTCCATCGCAATAATCATTTATACGTTTATAGGAAGACACAGGGAAGCCCAGATACAAGATCTTGCTCGGTATATTTAGTACGTAGGACATTTTAACACATAGATGTTAAGTTTGCTGCACTGCAGCGAAAATCCACCTAGACAAGTGACAACGAATGCATAATAGAACTGTTAGAATTACTATAGACGTGCTAAGAGATTACTAGAAACCACGTAACTGTGTAAACATTTGAAACGTTTGAAAGCGAACATTCAGATAGCATAAGTCTTCGTACACTATAAGAACAGGACTAACGATTAAAATCCATTAATCAGAGGAAATGCAGAATTATTAGGTACCGGAAAAAGTTCATTCTTTCATTTTCTACTACTGCTTATAAGACAGTTACATTATCGGTGCCAATGTACAGTTTCTCGATAGTGGAAATTAAATTTTTCCGTCATATTGTAGATTCGAAACATTCCAAATCGCTAGCAATAATTATTTTGTTTACCTAATATAATACAAAGGTCGCTCTGATTATAATTGTTTAGTTCTCGGAGAATGTCCTGGTCTATGTTAAGAACCGATAAAACAGGTTTTACAGTGTTGCATAATCAAGTACAATACATGAAAGAAATGAACAGTCTAACACAATTAATCACTAGCTATTAATAGGAATATGTATTCCCAGGAAATTGAACAAATACTTTTTATTTGATAAAATTATGACAAACTATTCTTATAATTATAGATACAGAATTCTGCTAATCTATACTGGTTTAATACAGGGTATCTTCGCAAGGGGGAGGGGAGAATAATTATCATTAATTATAAGCAATTACTAAGTAGATAAAAAAATAATGTCCGTGCAAAAAAATATTGTGGAATTCGGATAGAACACGCGATGAAACAGAAGGAATGGATCAGTGTATTAACAAAAGTATTCAGAGAAAAGGTAGTGCTTCTGTGACGAACAAAAATTCGGTTCCGCGGGTTATGGGAACTTTTTGTCTCCGTTTTCGGTCGAGAAACAACTTCGTACGAGCCGTGACTAACGCGTATAATACCCGTTGCAAATGGAAAGGTTAACGTTTCTCAAGCGTTCGCCAACTAAAAATATCATTCCGATAAATAACGTGCACGAGCAACTCGGTTACGTCACTAGAACGCAGCATTAGCGTAACAGCGAGTAGCGTACTCGATGTTAAAGACTCTCGATTATTCAGCTACGAACGCACCGATGAAATTTATGCGGCCGGTTGGCGATAATAATTCATCGTTCGTTCCGCGGGGGCATATTGGGCTGAAAATGGAGAACAGAATCACGGATTCACGGTAGAGAATTTTCTCATTCTCCTTGGCGAGCATCCTACTCTTCTTCCAATGTCTCAAGTCCACTGACCGAGACTCGGATGCCGTGCTATAAAATCGAAGAAAAAGTCGCGATCGTAAACTCGCGTCGCTTCCGCACTTCGCCGATAGTTTCGAGACCCGGCGATCGTGAAAAATTCGAAAAGCAAAGCGCTTTCCTCGGCGTCCCCCAGTGTCGAATAAATTCTACGGTAGAGATCTCCCGTGTCCAAACTAACAAGGAGACAAAAATGATCGGACGACAGGGCAATTGTTTTGTTACGTACTAAATTTCACTTATTTAAGGAGCTGATTTGGAATTTTTTAAAAAGTTAATCCCCAAGCCTGGACGTTAAGGAGAACAAATCTGGACAGAAATCGTTCACTTCGACGATCTTGAAAAAGTAATTAAATTTTTAGATTTAGTTCTCCGATCGTCTAAATACAAAATATTGTACGAATTTTGCTCTACGGTCTAACGACAGCTTTCGAATTTTAACTTGAAATCATTTTCCAAGTTTAAAATTAGTAGGTTTAGTTTAGACGTGATCGGATAGTTTAAAGAACTTTGGTGAGATCCGATCGATTAAGCATGTTGTTCGGTGTTGAAATCGATTTTCCCGAAAAGTATTGGCGTTTAAGATCGTAATGCGCGAATTACACAGGAGATTTGCGTAATCGAGGGCGATAATTAAGGCAGTGGAACGCGGTAAACCGTGCAGATCGTAGTTAAGAACGATTATGATGGGAAATCGAGAGCCGCGGTCTTTCTATTTCTATTTCTCTCTCTTTCTACGGGGTAAGTTGAAGAAGGAGTAAAGAAGGCGACAAGAACGCGTAATGGCCCACACTCGATTATTGCAAAGAAGACAGAGATAGGCGTGTTCCTCGGCGAGTAACTGGCAGGATAAGGACGAACGGATAGAAAACATGGCCATGATATTTACTAACGCGGCCTCCACGTGAAAGTGCTCGCTCTTCGCTTTGTGCCGAGCTCCAGGAACGCGTACGGATTCATGTAACGGGTGACATGGTATCACAAACTATATACAACGATCCCTCGCTAATGTTCGCCTGGTGGAACCCAGCCAGCGAACATTATCAAGGGAGGTACCTAATCTGAAAAATGTGAGAAACAATGACAGTGAAATAGAAATGCCCGATTATATTACAGGTTTTAAAATCGTATAGAAGTAAAAGTATAAAACATGTATAGTTCTTTTATGAATTGCATGATTCTTGTATAGTAATTCACATTCCAAATAGCGAAGGCTGATTTATTGATAACGCAGAATCATCAGACTGGTCTTTTGTATCACATTTTTAATGTTTCGAGGATTAAATTGCAATCGAAATTGGCTACTATAAATCTAAAAAATAGACGAATTAATTCCAAAAAGATTAACTTTTAACCACAAAGCAGTAAGAAATATATTTATTGTAGTAAAAGTACTTTTTAATAAACCATTTGATTGACGCTTTATTTTTTTAAATTCACTGTACATATCGTATTTATCTCTATCCAATATTGTCATGGGATAATTGTTATTAATATATTCCAAGGTTCCTGTAACCAGGACCCTGACGATTGTTACAGAAGAGAGAGAATGTGACAGAAAATGGAACGATCGAGTTGCGAGAGTTTCGAATGCAACGGAATTTGACCTAAATAATAACTTACAGAAGCGTGAAGAACTCTTTCCTTCTTCGCCTATCGGGCGAATTTTACCGATAAATTCCGATACGTTTATTGGTGGTCGGCGAATACGTTTGCTGATCGATTATCGGTGTTTTTGTGTGTCACTGGATCGTGGAAACAAGCGAGTAGCAAAATAGTAAATTATTCTACCGAGAGTACACATGAATAAAGTATTGAACTTTTATATTCATTCCGTCGATACTGTCAATTCACCGAAATATATTTTATTTCCTTTCGAAATTTCGTTCTCGAGTTATTCGAGCCAAGTATAACTGTTTATTCGATTCGAACCGAGTACTCGAATAAACCGAACGTTCGAATGAACCGAACAACTGCACCAAACGTCTCGAAAGAAGGCGTATCGTTATATCACACCTAACATTTTCTAAGAAACACATACATAGTGGAAGATAAAACGCATCGAGTGGACCGAGGTGAAAGAAGCGATTTCATAAACTAAAATAAACTAAGAAAAAGAACAGTATTTTCGAAATATCGCCATATTCCATAGCAGTCGCGCATACGCAAGACCCAGGACGATAATAATAGTATTTATTTACGGGAGAACCCGTTAGTATGCATATAAGATACATCAGTAATAAAGAACTTAAACCAAGTAGGGTCAATTGTGAATCAAAGGTAGACGTGAACAATTTTATTTCGAACTGTTCGCGTTCCCGAGTACTCGGTTCGGAAACCGAAGGTTCGGTTGGGCTCGGTAGCGAGCTATTCGAGTATTCGATCTTCCCGACACCAGGCAGCCGCAAAGGTAATTCGTCCGAAGAATTTCGATTCGAATATTTCGCTGGCACCGAGGTATCCTTAAGGTCTCCTCGGTGCTCGTCGCAAACAAGGACAGAAGAGAAGGGGATCCAAAGTTGTATAGGCACCTTTCTCGCGGCGCTCGCTGTGGAATGGCAAAAAGTGGTGGGGGAGGGGCAATCTGACGTCACATTGGCTGGTTGGTAGTGCCGCTAGCCTCTCACTCGGCCGGCGACGTTCGGCATGCTCGGTTTGGTTTGTTTCGTCTTAATTTCTGTTCGATTTCGAGCCGATCCGATTCCGTACGATCGCCTTCGCCACTCGAGATCCGCCTGCCAGAGGGAGCTGACCTGCAAATATCCCCCTCGGACGCGAAAGTGCGACACGTAACACGGTCTGGTTGTAAGTGTGCAAAACTGCTAAGTGAAGTTGTTCGGTGTCGGTTCGAAGTTGTTCGCCAGTGTTGCCGATATTTTTGTTCTATCGTTGTGCCATGACACTCTGGATACGATCGTGAATGGATTACATGGCAGCCGCGGTGAGTCTCGTCTCCCTTCCTGTCATCTGCGTTTCCGTTTCCATTTCCCAGTCCACCTTCCCTCCCCCCTCCCGCTTATTGTTCTTTCCGTTTCACTCGGGCGTCGAAAAGACACCATTGTTTTGGTTCGAACAACGTTAGAAACGATTACGTTTCAGTACTTTGCTCGACGTCGAGAGTCCCGTTTAAAATTCGATCGGCCTCCGCGTCGATTTACACGCGTCTCTTAATTGACTTACCTGGACGGAACCATCGACCGTTGACCTTTAAATGCCCTTATGCCGCGAGAACCGTCGAAAATTTCTCGCCACCTCGCCGTGAATAATTAATTAACAAACATCGACGATGAACAAAATGCAGTTGAATATCCAGGACTGCTCCCAAAATAGTATCGTGGAAGTATACCAGAGATTTTTTTTTCAATTTTCGTATTTGGTCAGTCTGGAAGATTGGCAGACGCGACGTCGATGTTTCGATTTTTAAATATTAGTACTTCTTTTTTTTAAATGTATTTTCAGAATAGTCGCACAAACAACGACCGTAAATCTAGTGTTAAATACGAGTTTGTCGCGACTGATTATTATTATTATTGTTTTTAGCAAATTGTCGCGATCGAATGGATTCGAACGCAAAATTTGTACGTGTTTTACCGTTGAAGGGACGAGGAAGGTTTTATGTCGGTCATTTTGTTTGCATTTCTTCCACGCAGAGAAACGCGGTCACTTGTCTCGCTGGTACTTTTTGGCGTTTCGTTCGCGAGAATAACGCGACTGTAAGGTAATTTCACGGATCGAAAGATATTATAGTATTTCTCCCATGCGATGGAAGATAATAGTAAAACTCTTGAAATTGGAGCGAAAGGTGAAAAGGTTAAGAGCGAGACGCCAGAGTAAAAATTTTTCTACCGTCTACGTTTTCGATAAAAAGAGCAAGGTACATACAATTCTTGCGAAAAAAGTATGATTTTGCTACGAATTGCCCAATTATTTCAAAATCGTCGCGTCGAATGTAAGTCGATCTTGCTTAAACGTTATTTTATTCGTCGCGGACCTGTTTATCTTGGTCGTTCGATGTGCAATATTTTGCCCGCAGTTTTTGCAATGCGCACGGATACGTTTTTATTTATGCATAACGTCAAGATGGTATAAAACGTGAGCCGACTTTTCAAGTATTTGAAAAACTGAAATCGTTGATATATTAATATCATTTTGTAGAAACAATTTTAACTCGTGTATATGAAAAAATGATAATCTTCTAGAAAATGTAGACTGTTTATAAATCGACGAATATTGGAAAATTGTTCAAGGAAAAAATAAAGTCGAGAAAATGATGTTTGAAGTAACTAGCCTTGGCAAATTTAGAATATTCTAAGCATTCGGAGAAAATAGAATATTTTCATGCAAAAGGTCAGACCTTCGGTGTATTTTTCAATTAAAACGGTTGGACACTCCTTTTTTGGCAGATGTTCCGATCTAGTAATCGTAAAAGGAATAGGGGTTAACGGGTTAAAACAAATTGCACCGTTTAACAAGAACTTACTGTGAGAATCAGCTTAGAATTAACGATGAACGTTTAACGGTGTACGCTTTCAATTCCCAATCGAGATTGTTACCGTTTCAAATTGGTGATTAATGTTAAAAAAGAAAATAATATTCTTTAAATACTTATTTATGATTATTCGAATAAAATGTAGCTTTTTATCGATGATTTTTTTCATACTCTGTAGGACATTATTTGTGGTCCCTGCTTATAATTCCAAGTAAAAATAGAAAACGAGGCAGAATAAAATACTTGGTTTTTTATATCGAGAAAATACAAAATTGCGAAATTATATTGAAAAATAGATTTTCTTTTTCTGAGGAAAACTTGACAAAAATAATATATTTTCACTGTTGAAAAGCGAAGAATATCGAGAAGTTTGGTACATTTTCGTTTAAATTCGACACATTTAATAGGTCAAAGAACAGTTAGGCCCGCGGGTTAAGCGTTTCCCATGGCGCATTCGGTTCGATTCGTTCGATTTGCTTCGTTCTGAGACATAACTATGAAATATCCCACAATCGGCTTCCACGAATCGTTTGCAGCCAGAACTGGAGTCTTTGACTCCAGAGTATCCAGTAAGTCCAGTTTGAGTAAGCATCCTGACTTTTCTGCCTTCAAGTGGATTGACCTCCACCGTCAGGATTCGTGATAGGAATAAATTCCCGGGCGAAGCCTACGCTCTATGTATTCCGGCTCCGAGACCACACCGTGGTCGTTCCTTTCAATTTTGGAGACCATCTTTTCCATAGTCGAACTGGAATCGGAATGCGAACAGTTTAACTTAACCCTCTGCGGTTGCCTTTTGTTCAGCTTAGAGAAACATTGCCATAACAGTTCTTCACGATCGGAGCATACAAAGTAGAAACTAAGATTTGAATTTCTAATCGTTCGTTGCTCGAACGGAGGAAAATGGAAACTTCGAAATATAGATCGAAGCATTTTTTAATACGCGATGATCCATTATATACGATATCGAACTTTCCTCTTTAACACGTTGACTGCCAGACCAAACCCCTCAAATTGTCTACGAAAAGAATACTCTTTTTTTGGATAATTGGAAACTAGCATATCCACAATTTGTCATAGAACTTATTTTTACAGCCTCGTTAAAATTTAAGCGTCCTATCAAGATTTATTTCCTTTAACATGCAATCTTGAGAAATAATTTTTTTAGCTGATCGATGAAAATTCATGTCACCCATATATGGGTGACGTGGCAGTCAATGTGTTAAACGAGCATTTTCCAGCAAAATGGAATGGAAAAAAAATGAGTGTTTGATAGTTTCCAAGCAGGTTCGAAATATTTAATTTTTATTTTTCGAATCGAGAAACATCTTTTATTCGTTGTTCGAAATTTTTTACCGATCTCTATTTTTCAGTGGGAAACTGCGGCAATCGATCATGCTGATAGAACCGATTCGCCTGAACGGGAAAAATTATGCACAGCAATATTCTTTTGCTATTTATTGGATCGGAACGTTTTACCGTTCGAAGTTAGTCGAGCGAAAGGAAAGAATTGCTTTCGGTTCGAAGCCTTATTTCTCCATGAAATTCAATTGTTTAGTATAAATACACAAACAGTCGCGAATTCGTTTCATACACAGATCAATAAACGGCACGGTTTTACTTTCGTCCGTACATTAATATCATATTTAGGAAATTTCTTACCTGAAATCTTGTTGAATATTCGCTGATAATGAAATTGATACGCCATTTTAGAAAAGAAAATATTTACAGAAGAAATAATATTTAACACGAGTGTCAGTAATATTTTAAAATTTTTTAGCAATATTTGTGTCCTTGGATATACTATAAAATAATTCAGATAATGTTTCTATGAATCAAACTAGTAGTTTTAGATAAAAATCTTTCATTAAAAAGTTTTATTGCAACATTTCTAATTAAATCATATCTTGCTGTAAAAAATGGATTTAGAAAAATGTCCCAACATCTGCCATTTCTGTGGTCGGGGAACGAGAATCGTACATATGAAAACCCAGATATTTTTCTCGATCGAACGATAAAAATTCAAGATGAGCAACCGCCAGTTGCATCATGGTTCTTCTTGCTTCGAACCGCAGAAATGAGAGATGGAGGAAATATGGTTCTGGTCAAAAATCGCAGAGTATAGACTTACGAAACGTTAGACGTTGCGGCAAACAAATAGAAACATAACTCGGAGTATTCTGCAATCCTCCAAGTGAACTTCAACAAAACGTTAATTAACTAACTGACAAACTAACTAATTTACTGCAAACTAACTAACTAACTAACTATATAATATACAAACTAAATAACTAACTAACTAACAAACTAACTAACTATCTGCAAACAAACTAACTAAATAACTGACAAACTAACTATCTAACTGCAAACTAACTAACTAACTGACAAACTAACTAACTAAATAACTAACTACCTAAGAAACTAACCAACTAACTGAAGAACTAACTAACTAAATGACAAAACAACTAACTAACTTCAAACTAGCTCACTAACTGACAAACTAACAAACTAACTTCAAAGTAACTAACTAACTGACTAACTAACTAACTAACTAACTTCAATCTAGATAACTAACTGACAAACTAATAATAATATCAATACAAACTAAAAAGTTAATAATAGTATGCATATAAGATACATCGGTGATAATAAACACTTAAACTAAATAGAGTCAACTGTGAAATAGAGACAGACGAGAGAAACTTCGAGCTTAAAACTATAACGGGAATAGAAATGAGAAATAAAAGGAAATGAATTATAGTTATTGTCGATACCGTAACGGAGACAGTAAAAATGTGATAATTGTGGTTTTTTTTTTGGAGGGGGAGGGGCGGGGGGGTGAAGTGTAACAGGAGCATGATAATTGACTTCGCACGGAAATGTGCGAAACATTAAAAAGTTAGCCGTTAGTTCGTCGAGTAACTCAATAGGATTCGAAGTCCGGAACTATGAGAACGCGAGACAATCGTGAAAGCATCGCGGCAAAATTCCCTGTGATTGTTTTCGTAGAAAGTAAACACAGTGGGAAGCAGATTCGAATTCTGGCGAGAGTGTACACTCTTTCGCGTGTTTCGAAAGACACGCGAAAATCCGAATTAAGCTTAATTGTACGTTGTAGCGGCGACCGAAAAAAAAAAAAAACGAGGTCGAACACGGGGACGTCGAAAATCGTCACGATGGACATTTCCATGGCGTGTTTTCTCTTTCACTTCCTCGGCGAAACGATGTTTTTCACGTTTGTTGTTTACCGGTAAAAACCAGGCGTTCTTGACGAAGTTTTGAAGAACTTCTTCCCTAAAATTCATTTTAACTTCGCCTCGATGAATTCTTGCGCGTTTTCGTATTGTTCGGGTCCTGCTTGGATGATTTTCAACGGTATGAATTCCGTACGCGTCTCGTGAGACGGTTTCGCGTCTGTACGGCGTACACGCCCGAATAAAATTGCAGCAAAC